AAGTGAATATGTATTCTGATTTGATCAGATAAAAGTGATTATGGACTTTTAACCATAAGAAAATGTTGTATAATTTATGTAAACACTTCTTTCTAAATAATTATTAACCGGTCTTGTAGACTTCAAACTTTCATAGTTTTTTTGTAATCAAAGCCCTTTAGTCGAAAGATCCTGATTTATTTTGGTTCGAACCTCATTTATAAGGTATAACAGTAGGCACACCAACTTCAGTTAGACACTATAATAACCATATCAGTTGTGTTATTTCTGTTGGTTATGACTAGATTCTCAAGAATTCCTATGGTTTCAACCTAAATTTTTATAATTTAATTTTCACTTTTCTCATAAACCTTATTTTCCCCGTTTGTTACAAAAAAATTGGTTAGAGAATAGGAGGCAAACATTTGGGTGAAAATTTAAAGGGATAGAGATTAGGAGACAAAAGACAACAACAGACATCTCAATTATTATTAACAATAACCGTAGACTTCTATAATAATTACCTAATAAAACTATAAAGTACTCCTGAACTAATTCAAATAAATAACGCAAGTACAAAATTTATAGCGCGTAAATCTCAACCACAGAGATGCTGCACCAATTCAAACTGTACTATAGTCTATAGTAATTAGTGGAAGATAATTTATAACCGGAGATCCTTATAATCCAACAATATTTGATAAAAATCTCCACCTGTCTAATAACATAACTAAAATGTAATTCATGTACTGAAACAATTTGGAGTGGAATCCTCTTTAATTGAATGGTTACTGTTTCCGCATTAAAATGTGTAGAGTTCAATTCCCTAAAAATGTGAATTATTGTAAACTAATGGAGTTAAAAATCTACAGATGATTTTCACCGTGGCATAAATAGAGTCGTTTGGCATGGTTTTGTGTGTTAAATATAAATCTAAAATCATAAATATGATGCAAGTAAAACCGTTTGCTGCGGATCTTTGTGGAATAGAAATGTATGTTAACGAGTTGTGTATGAAAGTTTTGTTGTATTTATAGTGTTGCAAGTTTGAATTTGTTCGCCGAATTGATAAACCAGACCCAACATATCTTTAAAAAGCTTTTGGATTCGTTTTGACAAATATCATGCGTAGAATAAAACATTTATAATGTTAGAAATATAATAAATCAGTTCAGAAGTAGAGAAGTTTATTGTTTTATATAGATTTAAGTGTATACTAGTTGAGCGAATTTAGAAAATGAAATACATTGTTTTCAGAACTTCTAAACTAAATTATTTGAATAAATTTTTTTGACCAGAAATTTAAATTCTTGCTTATTTTATTTTGGAAAAAATCAAAGACTGCTATTGTTTTTTCATAGATAAGCTTTTGGCAGCACGTGCTAACTGCTAAGTAACGTATTTCTTAACGCTTTTCGTAACGTATTTTATAACGGACTTTGGGACTTTGTAGCGTATCTCGTAACGCACACATGTAATTTTTGTTAGTCAAAACTCTTATAGAATCTAAATTATTACCATTTAGAGTTTGAACTTTTTTTATATATAAATACATATTGAGATTTCCACAAAATCTTCATCCTTTTCAGGAAAAGCTTCCGTTAAAAAAACTCAAAAAATTTACAGTGCCTGTGGGAAGAGTAGAAAAGAACAAAAAAAGTAAGTCATTACTATTATTAATTTTAGTCAGTGTTATATGAACCAAATCTAAGCCGAAAGGTTTGGAACCGAACTTTAATAAATTTTGTTATCTCTACTATTTTTGCATTTATTTATCCAGTGTTCTTTTTGTTTCATTATAAAAATATTTGTTTTTAAATCCATACTGGTTTTCAACATATCAATGATTTCATTGTCTAGAACTAATACTTCAAATCTTCCTAATTTTTTACAGAGCAAACTTCAAATCTTACATTTTTTTCTTCTGTCCACTACGAATAAATACATCAGTTTAAGAAATACACAATTTGGTTTTTCTTGTTTGGTCAGAAGAAAAAAGAAATACATAATGTTTTTGTGTATATTATTTTCAGTCCAACAACTGTGTTTTTTTTTTTTTCTAACTGTTTCATCTAAACCCATTTGACATAATTAGTTATAAACATGATTAAACATTAAATGATAAAACACTTTTACAATAATGTCAGAGGCAGCAGTAGCCAAAGGGTTTCGTGTCGGGTTTAAACCAAACATTGATGGTGTATGTATACACATACACCTTTACATGCATACATCCTCAAGTCTACAAATTCTACTCTGTTCCGCGTGACTCTGTTTTAGTGTTGGGGTTTTAGTATCACCCAGTTTCTAGTTTCTCTCCGTCTCTCTAGATTTCCACTTGTTTTTATGGAACCCTATCTCCTTTCGATTCATTGGCTCATGGTTTGATTTTGATTTCTGGGTTTTTGTTTCTCTGTGGTGTTTGCTTTGTAAATGCCAGATAATGAAGAAACTCTCTGCTTTTTGCATTCTCTACTTATTGGGTTTTGTGGATGATCTTAGATTACGAATTGTGACTTTGTTAGAGATTCAAAAATTCAACTCTTTTTTACTTTCCTTTTAGGCATTTCCAAATGGCGTTGGCAACTAATGTTCAAGCAACTAGTGAGGCTATGAGTGAGGCTTTGTATACAGAGCTATGGAATGCTTGTGCTGGACCTCTTGTAACTCTACCCCGCAAAGAGGAGCGAGTTTATTACTTCCCAGAAGGTCACATGGAGCAGGTAGGTTGATTGTTCAATCTCATGATGTTGGTGATGATGTATAATGTCTTACTTGTAAACATAGTTGATTTGTACTGTTTGTTGTGATGTACATTATCAATTGTTAGACTACTTTTCATTCTATGTCCGTATCAGTTTTTGATTATGGGTTTGACAATGCAGCTTGAGGCATTAATGAATCAGCCCTTGGAGCAGCAAATGCCTTCTTTCAACCTTTCATCTAAGATTCTCTGTAAAGTGGTTCATGTCCAGCGCAAGGTAGGTTAAATTCCCATAGTATATTGTATGATTTCTTTTTACCATATGGAATTTGTTGTGTGACACATTGTGCTTCCCTTTCCATGCTTAGGTACAAGCTGAAACCGATGAAGTGTTTGCGGAGATTGCCCTGTTACCACTAGCGGATGTAAGTTACGTTTTTTTTCATAACTAAGTGTGCATCATGACAATTATTTGACTAACTATTGTGATTTTTGGTCATTAGCAAATTGAACCCATCGTTCCAGATGTCCCTGTCCCAGACTCAGAAAATTTTAACATAGAATCATTTTGCAAGACGCTGACTGCTTCTGACACCAGTAAGCATGGGAGTTTCTCAGTGCTACAGAGGCACGCAGAAGATTGTTTTCCACCTTTGGTCTGAATTGATGATCTGCCTTTAGAAAACCGTTTCAGTGTTTCGTTTTTATAATACTTTGACTTCTCTTTTCTAGGTTATGTCCAAGGAAAACGAAACCCCATTCCAAGACCTGGTTGTAACTGATTTGCATAAAAAGGAATGGCATTTTAAGCACATTTACAGAGGTTGGAACAAATTCTATTCATCATACACGTAGTTTGCTTCTGGTCCTAAAGCTAGGGGAAGCTTACAGTATTCTGCATATTAGTGTTATTATTATTTCATGTTGATGTGTAGGCAAACCAAAGCGTCATTTGCTGACTAATGGCTGGAGTGCATTTGTTAACTCGAAAAAGCTGGTGGCTGGTGATGTTCTAATATTCACAAGGCAAGTTCTTTAACATTTCTAGATTTTTTTTCTTTTGTCGTAAATGTCTGAACAATTAATATAATTTCATTCCTCAGGGCTGCGAATGGAGACCTCGGAATCGGTGTCAGGAGGGCTAGGAGACAACATGCCAATATGCCATCCTCTTTGATCTCGGCTGAAAGCATGCATTTTGGGGTCCTTTCTCTTACTGCTCACTCAATTAGGACAATATCAAGGTTCAATGTCTTCATTAAACCGAGGTTGATCTTGCACTTCATGAGCCATATATAGTTTCCAAATCCTTATCTTGTGTCTTTTTAATAGACATTGTTGAATGCATATGCTTTGGTCGATAATCGTTTGGCTGCCTTTTCTATGAGTCAGGACAAGTAGGTCAGAGTTTGTCGTGAGCGTAAACAAGTATGTTGATTCTAAGAACCAGAAGCTCTCTGCGGGGATGCGTTTCAAGATGGGATTCGAGGGAGAGGATACTCATGAGAAAATGTATCATCATTTCCCTTACCAAATTGTTCTTTTTTTCTTCTGTTTTATTTCCCAAAAAACAATTCTAAATATTGAATTGTGTGCTTTAACATTACAGGTATGCTGGTACAATAGCTGGTGTCCAGGAAAATACTTCTGAGGTTTGGCCCGAATCTGAATGGAGAGCACTAAAGGTAAGTGTATATCTTACTGTAAGACTTTGTGTTTGGACCAAAACTGATGATCATAAATGCTTCAGGTTCAATGGGATGAACCTTCTTCTGTCTTAAGGCCAGAAAGGGTCTCTCATTGGGAGATTGAGCTCCTAGCTGGAAACAATAATACCCTTTCCCCACAGAGGAACAAAAGATCAAGGCCTCTTGGTCCATCTGCTTCCGGTACTTGAAATGATTTCTTGTTTTGAGCTATTCGTCTTGCGTGGTAGTCTTTATTGATGTCCTCTTCGTTGAACTCAGGCCCTGCAGGAACACCATCCAGTGTGACATTGTTCCATCCTTCTGCACAGACTACGACTTTTGGTAGCTCGACTTCTGCCTTTGTGAATTATTCAGTTGTAAAGAATCAGGCTCATGGAAATAGGTGCAGGCTTTTTGGGATTGAGCTTGTTGAAAAAAAAAATACCCCTGAGTGTTTCCCTCCTGTCACTGTCTCTGTAGCTGCTGGAGCTGATCAACTTGCTGTTTCCAACGAGATTGGCTTTAACCACCAAATTGAGCCTATGATCAACCAATCTGATATTTCTTTGGGAATTGTTGCTCCAGAGAAATGAAGATATGAACACAGAGGATAAAGATGAGGAAGGACAACAACTGAAGAAAGATTGGAGAAGTAAGAATAATAATAACTAGAGTCAATGTGTAGGCTCTAGAGTCTTTGTTTACCAGTTTAAGTATTTCTTGGGTTTAAGTCTTTTTATTTGTTGCCTTTGTTAAGAGAGATTTTGAAATTCCTGTTTTGTTCTTAAATCAGTGAATAAAATGTCTTCTTTCCTTCCTTCTATTGTTCATCTAATGAGTATTCATCAAATCCCAACCATGAACTTACTTACAGAAGCAAAAAGATTCAGAGAAGTGAATTAGATCAAAACAGAACAGAGGTCACAGAGTAACTCTTGTCTGAAACAATCTATTTCTCACCTCTCAAGCCAGAGAAATTTCGTCAACAATTTCGAAGAAAATATCTACCAAAATGACATTTTATTGTGAAGTCATATCAAAAGTAATATTTGTTCACATGTAAATATCATTGGATTTATAATTTAAGATTTTAATCTTAGTCCTCTCAAGTCTTATTATTAAGCTGTATAAAGACGAGTTCCATTTTTTATTTGCTAGGGAAAGAAACATGAACCTCTGCCTGTTGTTATTTGTGGTTCCAGCTTTTATGGGCTTGGTGGAAGAGAGAGAATTGTGGCTGGAGGAGAAAAGCATGGAACAACACAGCAACACGGTGTTGGACATGGAGAACTCGCCTCGACGATTATCGAGCTGTCTATTCCCGCAACGCAAACGGCGATACACCTTTGCACATCGCTGCTCTGATTGGAGACGTAAACATAGTTACGACCCTGTTAGATTATGGATGGAAAACGTGTTCTGCACGAAACAACAACAACAACCAAACACCTCTCCACTTAGCTTTCCGCAGCATTTCCATCGAGGCTGCAAGACTCGTTGCCGAAGAGACTGATTCAGTTGGCTTCGATGAACTCAACTTCGCAATATCAAGTGGATCCGCTTGTAAGTTTCTAGTGTACCACCAATAGGCTAGTGCTCCGCCTAAACAGAGGAATAAAAAAGCACGAGTCAAGATTTTTTCGTAATCTTGTTGTATAAACTCACCTACGGTCATCGAATGCTTTAGAATTGTTTTGTTTTGGATTGTCTAAGAGGGTAGACGTAAGAATTGAAATGAAGTACGATAAAAAAAAGTAGCAAAAAAATCTAAAATGTATATTGAAGAGGTAGTGTACTCTAAGGGATGATTGTATAGAATTGCTTTTCTCAGATCAGAGCCAAGTAGTTTTAGGTCCTGTTTCACCAATGTCTTCGAAGAAGAGCATCGATCTCGGATCCATTTTCCGTAAAGCAGCATCTGTCGCAGCTAAGCATGCAATAGCAGCTGCTACCGCCACATATGATGAAGACGAGATGTTCCCTCTGAAATGCTGCTTAATGTCCATCTCATTGCCGTGGGACACTATTGCTCATGATCTCTTATTCAAGGTAACAAATGATTTCATTTTCAACATAAGGGTCATTAGATATTTTTCTTGGGCTGATCGATTCCACCAGTAAACATGGAGTAAGCGTAGTCCCGACTTCCCATAGAAAAATTAAACGAAACAGGAGTTGTGTGTTAAAGGTGTTTGAATATTTCTTTTGTGATCTGTGGTTTACCACAAACACTGTTTTTACCTACAATAATAAATGAAAGTGAAGCTGTGAATTTCCATTCATCAAGTGCCTGTAGATTTCAGGTACTACCCTTGTTCTAGTCTATAACTTATAAACCCTTTTTGGTCTGCCTCGTTCCACCGCCAATTCACTTAGTACGATCTAACAATTCCTGTAGTATTACTTGTTTAAGGATACACAGGGCTTGCATAGATCATATGGTTAGAATTTTGAGAAATTTAAAAAACATGCACTTTTCAAGTGATATTTTTTCAAAATTATTTTTTTTTTAATATTATTTATGTTTGAGTTAAGTATGTTCTATTAGGGTTTAGTTATGAGGGTTTAGCGGGGTTTAGGGGTCAAAACATTTTCTAGTGTTTAAAATTTTATGATATAGGGTTTAAAAATCTATAATTAGTGGCATTTTTGCATATGAATACCCTAAGTAGTAGTTTTGCAAATGTGCACATAAAAAGTTGTTGCTTTTTTGCAATTTCTCCTAGAATTTTGGAGTATTAGATTAACAAAAAGAAGCAGCTTTTTGCCTTTTGTTTTCTGGACTAAACTTGAAAAAGTTGAATGGTAAAGAATTACAAAAATAATTGGGGTCGGCAAATGGGGAAGAAGCACATGAATCCAACTATGTAGTGTTAGACATTTCCTAATTAGATGACAAAACTCTGTGTTTAAGGTTATAGTGAGAAAACTGCCAATGTTTCTATATTTATAACGGAAAGAATTATGGCAAAATATAGATTCGGTTAATAGAAGTTGTAAAATATGAATGCATGTTTGAGTCCACTTACAAAAGCTACAAAGTCACAAACAGGGGATTTCAGATTTTTTTATGAAACGTGATGTTCTTTAACATACTTTTGGGTGCAAATAATGGTCTATCGTCTCAGACTCTCTCCGCATAGAAAGCATGGTTGTATATACCTCAAGTTCAGTTCCTTATCCGAACCCCGTAGCTAGACGGTCTTTCATTGCGAGCGACATGATGAACTACGCATAACGTGGTATACCTTGTGAGAACCAATCAATTTTGCTCCAATTCTTTGTTATTTGAACAAATTAACAGTTCATGTAGATTATTTGAAATAATACTTTGTTCGGGTTGAAATCAGCTCATTATCAGAATTGATGTATAAAAAACGTACGATGAATTTTGTTCGGATTGTAATTGGCCGTTTTCCCTTTTGTAAGCGGTAACGAAATCACGTTACCCAGTCTTTGAGTGACACCAGAATATACAATCATATTCTGACAAAAGGATCTACGAAAGGTTGCTTAGAAAATATGTAAAGATCTACGAAAAATATTGGAAATGTTTAACCCGATTTTCTTTTACGGACTTTTTTTTTTTCCGAATTCAAGATTAGATTATGTACACTTTAAAGAGAATGCAGCTGTAGTTTCACTTGTATTGTTTACTTTATCTTATCAAAAAGATAAGAAAATCCAAACATATAAAAAAACTTAGTCGTAATATGCTTTTGTTAGATTCTTCGTCATTAAGCTAAGCTCTCATCTTCTTCTTTGGCAAGACCCACCCACCATTTTCTCTTCCTCAGGTCTTAACTTATATCAAACACCAAATCTTTCGTTTTTCAGTATATAGCTTTAACTATGACTTGCAGTTTGAAGATCAGACTATCTCCAATATACTGTATTTTTTTTTTACTTTTGACTCTAAGACAAAGTAAGATACAACATTTTTCTGATTATTCTCTAATCACTACAAGAAAACATATCAATTTTTGACCAATTTTTTTTGTGGTCAAAACTATTTTGACCATTTTCGACTAATTTTAGACGAATGTTTATTTTCATTATAAATTGGTCAAGAAAATATGATGAAATATAAAAGTCAAAAATTGGTCGAGAAATTTCGACCAATTTTTAACGGATTCGTCAATTTGTCAAAAAATGGTCGAAAACTTGCGACAAAGAAGATTGATTGAAAATTGGTCAAGAAAACATGTTAATTTTTGACCAAATTTTTACCAATAACTTGGTCAAAATGTTTGTTGACAAATTTTCGACCAAAAAATTATGAAAACTTAAACTCGTCAAAATATGATCAAACTTTTTTTTTACTATTACAAGTGGTCAGTAAATAGTCAACATATTTTTACCATTTATCGACTAAAACAAAATTTGGTCGAAACTTCGTGAGTAATTTTTTACGAATAAATACTTGACAGAAATTGACCACAACATTATCGACAGAATATTGAGGAGAACACTTCTATTGTATTTGTCCCACATCGCCAATATGGGAGGGATGAAATTTTGACTTTCTCTATAAAATAGCACTTACTCCATTGTGAAAAACGTAAATGGGCTTCATGGCCCAA